TTGGTGTTGCTGAAGCACTTGCTGCAGCTGGTGCATTGAAAGAAAACCCAGCACTAGCTGAGGCAGCTACAGTGTCACCTGGTTTGAGGGTGGTTCCAAAAGAAAATCCACTAGTGGTGGTTGTGGCCACAGGGGCCCCAAATGTAGGTGCAGTGCTAGGGTTACTGGTAGATGCTGTTGTAGTGATTACCCCAAAAGACAGTCCTGACTGAGCAGAAGACACAGCACCTCCGAGTGAAAAACCCATTGTTGGAGTCGCTGTTGTAACTGCTTTAGTGTTAGAAGTTCCCAGTGTGAACCCAAGTGGCGCAACACCACCTGTCACCAGTCCACTTTGTTGAGTGCCACTTTGTTGAGGGCCACTTTGTTGAGGGCCACTTTGTTGAGGGCCACCTTGTTGAGCAGCAAATGTTGAGCTTGAGGTCTGACCAAGGCTGAACCCTGTGCTTGTGGTAGCTGGTTTGCTAAAGGCGAGACCCCCAGTGAATGAACAGGAAGGAGCAGTGGATGTGATGCCCAGTGAGAAGCCCCCTGCTGTGGAGGTGGCTGCTGGTGCAGAGCTGCCGAATGAAAACCCGGAACCTGAAATGAAAGGACAAAACAATATCCCTTTGCAACCTTCATAACATATTTATACTGAGTTGAAAAATACCTCAGGAAACTACAAATTAAAGTTCCACATACACATCCACCTTTCCTCGGCTCCATCATTTTTTTGAATAACTCGAGTTATTCGCAGATTTAGCGGCCCTTTTCGGCAAAAGTCGCTGATTCAAACAGTAAGGTGCTCTCTTTTCAAAGAAAAATATTTTTTCCTCAAAGCCTACATGATGCGTAGATTACGCCTTCTGAGTTTATTTCCTATAAATTGGAAGGGGACTTTTGAAAGTTTGGAAATAAATGCTCTTTTCCTTTTACAAACTGAAAACATCAGTAACTCAAAGTGTCCCACCCATTCGAAAATTAACTCATGCGTAACATGCTCTCCTCATCCTCCTGAGGCCGTGCGTACGCCACGAAATTTGTCTATCGGTTTCCATTATTCGTACCTGCGCTTCACATATCCACGAGTAAAAAGTACTTGTAATGTTGTCACAATCATCACAATTAAATTTTACCAAATTCAAGACTAACCGGTGCAATTCCTGCCATCACCGTGGTATGCATATTTGCAGGTGCAGGTATAACTTCCGTCAGTGTTACTACACAGGGCGTGCACGTGGCAGTCGTTGGCGTGGTTAGCACACTCGTCTATATCTGAACAGTAAAAAAGAATCGAGAGCTTACCAAATTGAAAATAAGTATGTGTCATCTCAGCTTGTGTCATCTCAGGAAATTGTGTAGTTTCGTCGACTGATTGCATGGATTCTGCTAAGAGGCCTATAACAGACAACCTCGTTTTCCCATCTTATTTGAGTCCTGTACAATACTGAAAGCTAGTCTTCAATGTAACATCACGTAAAAAATATTTACCTTTTTCGCAATTTTCTCCCGCGTAACCAGCTTGACACAGGCAAACGTATCTCTTGTCTGTAAATCCACTAAAACAGGTTGCACCATGGACACAGGGATCACTAGAACATGGATTCTAAAGAGATAGAAAAACATTTTAAGTGATGCATAGTCTAGTAAAATCAAAGTGGATAGAAGAGTATTTTATCGTATAAACGGCGGTTTTTAACAAGGATTTCATTTCCAGCCCTGAGAAAAGTTGTAACTACACATATGTAAAATCGCGAAAATTTTTACGTATGTTTGATATCACCAATTAGCTGATAGCACGTCACTCGCCTTTCTCGTCACTCTGTCAATAATAATAATAATAATAATAATAATAATAACAATAATAAAGCATTTATATAGCACTAAGCTCGACTAGTTCTCCGTAGCGCTTTAAAAAATTATAGACTAATTAACATAGCAATTAAATTATAAAAAATCGTCAATAAAAAAGTGTCTTTGAACAAGTATGTTTTAAGGTTCCTCTTGAAAATTGCAACAGATTCAGATGTTTTAAGGGAATATGGCAAATCGTTCCAAAGCTTGGGACCGGCAATGGAGAAGGCACGGTCACCATAGTTCTTTCGAAATGTTCTTGGAACCATCAGGAGCATTTGTGACGAGGAACGCAGTACGCGAGAGCCATAATTCCTTTGATGCAACAGTTCAGCAATATAAGTTGGAGCTAAGCCATGTAGACCTTTATAGACAAGTAGAAGTATTTTGAAGATAATGCGATACTTAACAGGTAGCCAATGAAGTTTCTTTAATGCAGGTGTAATATGTTCCCATTTCTTTGTCAAAGTAATAACTCGCGCAGCAGCGTTCTGTATAGACTGTAGCTTGTTAATCATATAGTCAGGTAGTCCATAGAGAAGGGAATTGCAATTATCCAATTTAGATGTAATGTAAGCATGAATCACAATTTCAGCAGTTTCCGGACTGAGATATTTTCGTATCTTACTTATGTTCCTTAGGTGATAGTACGAAGCTTGACAGACTTTTTT